TGTGGGAGGATTATATTAAAGACTAGTACACTACAATTTTTGTTCAATTTTTTTTATTAAATTAAAGTTAGATGAAACAATTACTTAAGTGGAGAACAAATAACTTTGTAATAATTTATTATGCGATTTTATAATTTTTTGTTTATTTGATAAGATTGAATAAACAATTGGGGCTATTTTAATAGTTTTACAACTTATGTGTGATTTTTATGTTTATGAGAAAATATACAACACAAAAATTACATATCGCATGTCCAAACAAACCTTCAATTTCATCTCATGATTCCATATCATAATACCATATCATGATTCCATATCATGATACCATGTCGCATGGCCAAACGGGCCCTAAAAATAGTGTCTCATATTAGTTCTGCACCTTACTAAATCAAGAAAATATTAATATATTTTTTTAATATTACCAATGCAATTAATTCTTTTTGAAAATGTTCACATTTATTTATAAAATTTTCAAAAATCTATAAAGGATGAATTAGTAAAATTAACTTTTTATTTATAATTTTTTAAGCGCACACAAAATGAAAAAGTAATCAACTCATTAGACTTTCTTCTCTTTAGGCGCATGTTAACATAACCTGTTGAGTTTTGGCCATGGCTAGAGGGAGGGGAAAGGGGTGAGGATGAGGCCAGAAGGCAGAAACAACCTCTTGTAGGAGCATGCACTACTCCCTTGGTCTCAAATTATTTTTAATTATGATGAGTTTTTCACTATTTTACCCTTATTTGTGTTTTTTTAAGATATACTATAATCTTTGTTCATTGAAGATACTCATAATTATTTTTAAAAATTATGATAAATAATTTGAGACCGAGGAGTATCAGCTAAGCACTTTTTTCATCGACGGATATTACAAGTGTACAAAGGAAAAAAAAGAGTGATCAGGTTATGAAGTCAATTGCAACCGTTGATAACTATAATGTGTCAAAATTGGTGACTTGACTTCAATATACAGCCTTTCAAGTGAACTGGAATAATTTTCAGTCCTTTTTTTTCTAGGTGAAATTCAAACCAAACACAATCTGTATTCTTAAATGCTCCTATTCTTTTTCAGCTTCAAATACTCTTATCCTCTTAACTTTCAATTCTTCAGCCAAATATAATACAACAAGGTATTCAGTGAAATCTCACAAGTGATCTAGTAGAGCATATGAAGATTTTACTATTATCTCGTAGAGTTAGAGAGGTTGAATGATATAATTGAACACATACCAACTGTATGATAAAATTCCGAAAAGAATTGATATGTGTGAGAATGGAACTACTCCACTAACCCATCACAAATAAACACAATGTGAAGTTAGCAGATAACACAAGAGTTAGGATCCTCTTCCACACTGTAATAGTGCTGATAAGCAGGAACAGGGGTCGGGTAATGTGGATAAGGTTGCTGATTCTGATATTGATAGAGAACTGGAGCTGGATATGCCTTTATTGCTGCTGTTGCCGCTGCCACCGCCGCCGCTTTCTTTTTGTCATCCTCTTTCTTCGGCTCATCTTTCTTCTTTTCTGGCTCTTTTGCTGGTCCGACAGAGAGTATTTCAGTGTGACACAGTTTCTTCAATTTTGAAACTAATACAACTGGATCTACGTTTCCCGTTACTGTCAATTTCTTGTCCTTTGTATCTATCGACATTGAGTCTACCCCTGCAACATCATCCACACCAAAAATCACTCAAACTTGAATTTTATCCATATTGCAAGATCTGGAATCCTGACACAGTTTTGAAGAAAGAAAAAAAAAAAGAATGATAACGTACCTTCCACAACAGAAACTTTTTTCATGACCTTTTGCTTGACTTTGTCATCGAGATACTCCAACTTCAGCACTACTTTCTGTAAATAAACAACCAAATCAGAAAGAACAAAAAAAACAATACTCGAGTTCAACCAATTGAGCAAACTTTACTTGTTTAAAATCAAACATTGATTAATCCCGTGATTTACAAATCAACACTTAAAAACTAACCATCATCTCCAGATCTGAATTAAGTGTATGGAAGTAAGTAGCAAATCAACACTTAAAATTCTTTCAAACAGAGAAAAATATTGAAGGGAATAGTAAGAAATATAATGGAGTTGTGAATGTGTTTGATAGATTTGTAGTTATTTATAGTAGTGATTTTTGAGCTGAGAGTGAAGAGCAGGGAGGGGACGAAGAAGCAACCAAGTCAACTTTACCAAGTCTTCCTTTTGTATTTGTGTGCTCTTTTTAAGTCCATGGTCAATATATCTTCCTATCTTTAAATGCCAAAATATGCAAGTTTTTTCTTCTTCTTTTTTTTTCAAAGGGAAATATGTAAGTTTTTTCAAAGAAAGAATTTTAGTTTACAATCTAAAATACTCATTCACTATTTTTGTTTCGTGGTTGTTAGTATTGTACTGTTTTATATTATTAATTAGAATATAATGATTTGTTTTAATTATCACTTTAATTTTATTATATCGTATCGTTTAAATTTATTATTGGATAACGACAAAATATCTCATTACGTGTAATGATAGATTTGATGTGATCGCGTCATTACCTTAATATTTTCTTCTCATTTTGTCTTTACTTATTATTTAATAAACATTTTATCTTTTGACTTATATTTTCATAGTATCTCTATTATGTACCTTACTTTTCTTGTTGATGTTCATTATGTAACGACGAAGAATGATATGATCTATCCAAATATTATATTTATTAAAACAATACAATATTATACAATAGTACAATATAATACAACACACTATATTACTCTCTTTATTTCATATTAAGTGAATTTTTGAGGGTTTTTTCATTGTTCAAAGTTCAAGATTGATGTTTGAATTTTTTTTTATATTTATCGTTTTATTTATTGAAGTTTTATATTTTCTAAGAAATAAATTACACTACTTACAAAATTATATTTATGATTTCACATAAGGTAATAGTAAAAATTATAATTTAAATTATATCTTTAAATATGCATTGCCTCACAAATTTATTTATTTAATATATAATAGAAGGAGTAGGAAATAATTTTGTTAAGATTGAGATGGTTGATTGCCGAGTGGAATTTAGATGCTAAAATAATGAAATAAAATATTTCAGTTCAAACTTCAATGTATAGAGTCAGTCATGACCCAATTTAACACATTTAAAAGACCAAGAGGTTTTGTAAGTTTATGAATTCAAGTTTTAGTTCTTTACAGTTATTGATTTTTAATTTAATTATAATATATATTAAAAATTATTTAATATTAAATTACGGAATTAAGTTAAGTTGCATTTGATACTTTCTTTTGGTTTGCAATTTATAAAAAATAATAAGAAATGCTACATAATTAATGCACTGCATTATTATTAAAGGTAACACTTATACAAGAATCTGTGTAGCATGACAATTGAAATAACTAATTTTAACTAGTGCAACAATAATAACAATAAAAATATTCAACAATTAAATGTTTGATTTTAACATGTTGGAAAACTATCTTCTATAGGAAAATTGATTTTGTTTATTTTGTAATCAATAAAGAGAGTTGGCAAATTCAACTTCATCTTTGATTTGCTTTAGAGATATAGATTTTCTTTGATGTTTTGTTTAAATTATAAGAACCAGTATTTTATTTCCTACAACCAGTTTTAACCAAAAATAGAAGAATAGAGAAGGGGACAGAGAACTGACAAGGAAATGATAATAAAATACTAATAAGTTAGTGTCACTAACTTAGTGATATCAAGAGAAGGTTCCTAAAGTGTTATTTACTTCACATCAAATCTTCGTGCATACACTTATCTCTCCGCTACGGATCTTTATTGATTTTGAGGGTGTTCGAAATACTATAAATATCAATATAAAATAAGATTTAAATTATATATATATAATGTAATTTTTCGATAAAGAGTGTCTAACTAGACACCTGACATCACCGTAGCTCCGCCCCTACAATTCACCTGACTCTATTTTCTTCTAGGACATGTTTGGTATGATGGATAAGAAAAAATAATTATGAGATAAAGTTTTTGTAATCTTTAATCCTTGTTTGGTTAGGAAGTTTGAAATAACCTATTTTAAGATTATTAGTAGTACTGAAATGAGTTATCTCTAACTTTAGATGGAACAATAATAATGGAATAACTTAGACAAGAATAAAATAGTTAAAAATACAAAAATATCCATAAAAATGTCATGTGAAGAACAAGGATATCCAAAAGTCTCTTGATGGTATCTATGTTTGTGAGAAGGGTAAAATTGTTGAAGAAGAATGAGTACTTTAGAAGTAGGCATATTGGTGATGATCTATATCCCAAATGCTCATTTTACCATCTCTTTTAAGTTCATTTGGAGACTTGAGTCAATTTGGCCACAAATATATTTGAAAAAAAATTCATATATAATTCACAAAATGACTATGAGGATCGTTACATTATTTACATAAAAAAAAATTAAAATATGACAATCTTCTTCAATTCACACATTGTAACTTTTGAAAATCTCAAAAACACTAAAAATCATATTAATTTCAACCTAAAGATTTAAGTGTAATGACCGAGAGATTTGAAGAGAGGGTTCTTAAATTTCTCCAATTTAATATTTTTCAAACGTGTATTTATATCTCAACAACAACCAACGAGTTTGGTGAAAGCCTAACTTGATTTGTGACTACTGCTTAGTTTAGCCCAACCAAGTTATTCGTAATTTGAATACTTGCTTGTTATAGAGATCCAATGCATTTTCTGGATATTTATTCAATGAATGGTGTACTTGTACATGTATTCAATTAATTAGTTAAAAATAGTTCGTGCTCAGAGGCGTATTCAGGATCGATTTTGAGATGATGGGTGCACTATTATAAAAAAGTGAATCTAAGATATAAATTTGATTGGTTTGATATTTAGGTTCTTATCACTGAAAACCGTTAAAAATTTAAAATTATAGGTCCAAAATTAACCACTTAGAAAGGTGTTACCTAATTTTAGAAAGAAAAATAAAACAAAATAGATGCAAGATTCAAATTTCTTACCTTACTTTTAGAGAAGTGCACCCAATCATCATCGATTCATATGATACTCGAGTGTGTGTTCACATATCTATATTTCAATATTTCTTTAAAAAATATAGAGAAAATGGCCAAATGACCTCCCAACCTATTACCGAATTTCCAATTAAACACATATTCTTCACGGGAGTCCTATTCTCCCCTGAACTACTTTAAAATGGAATAAATAACCCTTAAGTGATGAGTTGGCATAGAGAGTTAATGTCACTCTCTTTGAGAGAGTGAGTTGCCTATTATTATTTTTTAATTTCCGTTTTTTTCTAATTTCCTTTTTTCTTTCTTCTTATTTATCTATACAATTATATTTTTTTCACCATTATCATTATTGAAGCTTTTTTAATAGATGTTTGGTATAAAAATTATCAACAACTAATGCATTTTATGAATAAATAATTTTTCAATAGACTTATTTAGAACATATCTAACAAATTAAATTTATTTTTAAAAAAAAACATACCCATTGATTAATTTTTTTTAAAGTCATGGACACAACTCTCAAGAGTAACAAAATCAAAGTGAAGTAATTGTATATTTAAAAAATATCTTCAAACTTATTAAAAGAAACTAAAACAAAACAATGTCTTCTACATTTTTAAAGAAGGATCCTACATGTTCTCCTAAAATCCATGAAGAATCAAAATCAAAAACTCAAATTATAAATTAATCATGAAAATTTTAGAGAATCAAAATCAAAAACTCAAATTATAAATTAATCATGAAAAGTTTAGAGGGAGAAAGAATAAAAAATTGGGAAGAGAAAAGGTCACTTGAATTTTCGTTTTTATAAATTGTTAGAGATATAGAAATTTATTGAGGTAAAAAATGGTGTTTATTATAGTTAGGGTTGAAAAAATGATTGGGGAAGAAAGGAAGAGGAAGGAGGAGAACTTTTTTAAATTTTTTTTTTATTAAATGGTGAGATACACGTGTCAAGTGTGTGTATTTCACCACAAGACACATGCCTGGTAATGACATTTCAGGAAGGAAATAATTCCACTTTAAAATAGCTCAGAGGGGTAATATGACCCCCGTGAAGTATAAGTGTGTAGCGGAAAGTTCGGGAATAGATTGGAGGGTCCTTTGGCCATTTTCTCAAAAATATATTACTATTATATATGATCTCGGGAGGGGAAAATGGATTCACGTGAACCCGATGGCCCCCCCTTACATACGCCCATGTTCGTGCTCATAAAAATATGTTAAATTTTACTCTTTTTATTTTAAAATAAGTGTCATATTAGTTTTTTTTTAAAATTGTCCAAGAAAAAGGGTTACCTTAAAATTCAACATAAAAATAGTACTATATTTTTTCAACTATGCCCTAATACTCTTATTAATAGTGTTCAAGAGACATTTATCAAAATAAGGGTAATTTAGAAAATAAAATATTATATTTATTAACTTTTTTAATAAAGGTGATTTCTGCTAAAATAACACTTATTTTAATACAAAGAGAATAAGGATTATAATGTTCTCATCATCTTAAAAAATATATTTTCAGTTATGTTTTCTTTTAAAGTTTAGACCACTCTTTACTTTAGTTCATGTTACTTCAGCAAATTAAATTTCACCTAAAAAATAGTTTGGATGAGTTATTTTTTAGCAGAATAAAATGATCTATTTTAATTATTAAGCTAATAAGAGTCAATTTGAATACTAGTGACTTTAATTTAAAAAAAATAAAATGTTATTGGTCTTTTACAAAATTCTTCAATCGTAGAAAATTCAGTAGTATAAAAAATTGTTGAAAAGAAAAATATGGAAGTGCTGGAAAATATAAACTTTAATGTTCTTTCATTTGAAAAGAAATAAATCAAAGGAGCTAACAAGCCCAGGCGTAACATTTGTAATTCATAAATGACTAGGGAACTTGGCCGCGCTTCGCGCAATCATTAAAAAATTAAATATTTTTGATTAATTTTATATTTACTTTGTTATTTAATCGTAATATTATTATTTGTTTTAATAATATGAAGATTGTGAAAAAATAAAGCTTGACAAATTTTACATCTATTAAATGAGGAAGAATATATTTTTTATCAAAAAAGTTAAATATATTTGCTAATAACAAATTCTTCCATTGCATGAAGTTGATCCTTTAATATATAATATATATTCCGGTGTACCATTCTCCTTAAATGTCTAAGAAATATCTCATAATGTGAA